TCACGAGGACCCTCCCCGAACAGTGCTACAGTCGGCGCATGATAGCGCGCGGTTCCGTCCACGCGCAGGTATCAAGTACGTTGGCTTGGATTCCCTCTCGAGCAGGACACATGGGAACCACGTTCCTAACTCCTTTGTGACGTTCCAGATGTTGTTCAGTCGTACGAAACCACAAAGTCGGGCTATTCCAATGCGGGCGCGCACGCGAACGATCTCGTGACAAACGAGAGCGGTAAGGAGATCCACGTCGTCGAGAACGAGAACGATGACGCGAACGAAGCGATGCCGTGAACGAGAACGTCAAGGTGAATACATTTTACCACGACTACGAGGCAAGAATCGCGCAGCATAACGGACAGGCGAACGTGTCGCTGCCCTGCTCTGATTATTCAGCGGAGATTATTTCCTATTTCCCGAGTGGTGCTGCCAGCGAGGCGCACCTTCGAATAACTGCGCTTCTCCGTTTGCTCAGATTTCGCTCATACTTCGAAATTTATTTCCGTTTGCGTTCGCTGAGTAGACACTCAGCGATGTGTCATCGCCATTCGTCATGAGTTGGGCGTGGCATCGACCCACAAGATTGGCATCCTTAAAAGACATGAACGATACAGTGGCGGTCCTCATTTCAAGCATTCTAACACACTCTTTAGCGTAGCGCGCCGATAAAGTGATCGGCGTGAAGTTCCTCTAGATTGGAGAGCCACAGTTGGAAGCTGATATCATCCTCGAGCATTCGATTCCAACGTTCGATGAAGGCACACCAAGAACGTTGCAGGGCCTCATACCCGATTCCATCAAGGCTCTTTCCATGCAGTTTTCGGAATCGCCGAAAGTAGCCCCGCATCGTGTCCAGTGAGTCCGGAGCGTGAGCTCTGGACAAGTCATACAACGCCCAAAAGATGAGTTGTTGCGCTATGATGCTGGTAGTTGCACTCCCTCTGATGGTGCTTGGGAGTGCTGCAGAATTGGGTGTCGTGTGGTCGGACATCGCTTGTTCTTTTGTGAAGTTTGAAGTTTCGACTGTTGAGCACTCACGGATGGTAATGCTGTCTTGAGAATGTGGACGATGTAATGGGCCATATTGCATATGTCACGTTAAAAAGAATAACAATTACACATGTAGGCATGTGCTGTGCCCGAATAGCGGGCACAGCGTGGCAATTCATTATTGGTTTATTTTAATGGGACCTAAAGTCCCAATATGGACCAATAATGAATCAGCCTGATAATGTGTGGTTCCCGAAAGGCGAGAACACTGTATTTATTACCACTAAAATCTTCGTAATTAGTACGAATTAAACCAAAATAAAAATGAGTTAAATTTACTTAATACCTAATACTTGGGCTTGAGTCTTCCTCAAGCGCACGTGTGAGATAGTGACGGTACGTTTTAGCCTTGTTATAGGGACTGAATATACGAGCCGTGGCTTACGTACGCACACAACATGTCGTGACGCCTTGATCCGTATACTGATTCCATTATGGTCAGCTGCTGGGCCAGGTACAGACAGATCGACATCTCGCACCTAATCAGCGTGAAGAGCACTCACGTACCACCGATCGAGTCGAGAACTGGCTGATCTACCACCAGACATTGTGTAAAAATATGTGTGCGCCACCGCATGATAGGATGGTAAATGTCCTCTCTCTTCCGCTCGCTCCATGTCATCTTCGAGTACATCGTAAAGTTGCGCCTGCCCAAGAAGCCGTATCAGCGCTTTCGAATCATGTCTGCCGGGCGGCGAGACAAAGATCGGTCAATTCGAGGCCCCAATGGGCAGTTAAATTCCCCGCCAGCGAACAAGGGTCCGTCGTGACCCAGCATGTGATGTCAAAGCATCTCAAAAAACGCCTTCCTTAGCAGTCTTATCACTCGGGGTATATAAGTTGACAACGAGAATTGTTTCGCTTCGAATAGCAATTTAAACAGCCATCCAGTGCGGTGTCCAATGTATTTCATGCCATGGCTAATCGACGAGTACGGAATCAGTAAAATCGCAACCTTTTCACGCGCTGTTTCGGACTCAGTCCATCGAGTGCGTCCAGGCTTGTCAACGAAGCCCCATGTGATGCTGTTCGACTTGTTCAGCCTAGCTGCTTAACCAACAGATACTCGCGTTTCTTGTAATAGAACTAAGTCGATAACACCCCGTGTTTCGCGCTGCCTGAAATGGCCAAACCATTCTGCACTGCGTTCCGGATGCTTGAGAAATCCCGCGACATTTTGCGAATGCAGAACGATGATGTTTTCACGTGGGATTTGTGGAGCCTTTAATTTGGCCCTTGAGAAGCCTTCAACTTGGCCCGGCGACGACGTCGAATTAAATCTTCATTCACACTCCCTGAACGACAGGCGCAATGAGTCGTGCTGCACATCTAGGACATCTGCATGTCGTCAAGTGGTTGCACGAAAACAGGTCCAAAGGATGCGATGATTCAGTTATGGATTGGCCAGTCCGCCGCGGATATTTGGAGATGGTCAAGTGGCTAGTCGAGCAAAAACCGGAAACGTGTCGTGACCATTTAATGGAGAAAGCTGCATGGCACGGTCATTTGGATGTGGTTGTCTATCTATATGAAAACACGAGGCAACAAGATTGTGATTTGGTTTTAGGTGCTGCCGCTAAAGAAGGATATGTCAAGGTAACTATCGCGTTGATGTAACGTCACTTAAAGACCATTGGTAGATCTCGATACACGATGCAGTGTTGCTTCCGGTGTTTGTTGAACAAGCTTCAAACCAGGGTGCAACTCCATCTTCTCCATTTTGGAACAAAATATTGAAGATGCTCGAGCTCTTCTGTAACAGGGCATCTAGTTACACGTAAACATAAAGTAATATACTTAATGTAAGTTCTAAAAGTATCCTTGATTACTTTTGACCTGTCACTTGGGTGCGATACACAAATGTGATCCACCCTCGTGAATGTGATATCCATTGATGGATTCACATGAGAAGGGATGACGCTAGTTGAAGCTAGGCATCGCGAAGCCTCAGAAGGACGTCAGTTGCAAGCTTGCATCCAGATTTAAGCTCATGCGTCAGGATACGCTTCTAAAGAGTCGCGTATCCGATATATATATATAGCCAATCAGTAGTTAAGTATATATTTAGTTAAATCCTATTAAATATAAATCAATTTTGAATTTGCTAAATCAAAAGCACCACGCACGAGAAGCCGAAAAGCTTCTACGTGACGTCGGTGACTTCTTGTCTTAGAAGTTCGTTGCACACTCGCTTAAGCGAGAGGCAACTGGTGGTACGACTGCTTAAGCAGTCGACCAACCTCCTAACCACCCTCGCACGCGAAGGCAAGACGGTCTAACCGCTTCCTCGCTTGTGCTGAAGGTGTGTGCTCGTAGTACGAGGCAACTTCGTAGAAGTGCTCGTCTACATCTTCCACGGTAATGAATTTGTTGCAGGTGTGATCACACTACTTGAACTAGTACTGCAACGTGGATATTAGGTCATGGATCGACAGTTTTTCAAGCGCATAAGCGAAGAGGATAAGTGTCAGTATGTTGCTGATGCTGCCGAATAATGGCAACATCGTATTAATGAGGTGGCTAATTGAGAATGGGACCCCATTGATCGTTCATACAACGATCTCTCTTGCCTCAGATCACGTGTTCAGAAAATAGTGTGTCGAAGTTACTTGGTGGTTGTCTGAAAGCGATCGCGTGGTTGTCATTCGTGCCGCTCTCCATAACAATGTCCGCAAGTTGTTGCTGTGGGTACTAGATAATACCGTCTTCAAGGATGAGACTTCACGAAATGCTATTCAAAGTGCTCTTACGAGGGCCGATAACGTTACAGTACACTGGCTTTGTGATAACCTCTTGAATGATGACGCTCGTAGTTGGTGTTTCCCATTGCATCAAGAAGGATCGAGCACTGTGACGCCATTTATAAGGGATGCCCTTGCAGATAGACGCTAGGAGCGAGCGCACTACGACTCAAGTAATGTATTACGCGTTTACTATCATGCAAACGAACTAACACTACAAAGTGGTGTTTCTTGACTAGATAAGCATATTCCTAATGAGCCTAGACTACCTCCCATCAGAAAGTCTGTTTTTGCATCGAAGAAATGGCATCATCTTCTCTACCCAACACCCAGTGGCAAGAAATAAAAGTCGCTCCAGCTTTTGGGATTCTTTTGTGGGGTTTTGCCTCTAGAGACTGATTAGTTGCATTAAACTTTTGTGCGGGTACATGAAGCAACGCATTCGTTTCTAGGGTAAATGGGTCTTCAAAAGTCTTTGAGATCGTGAGATTCTTATCATTGTGAGGTTTGGCATCTGACGATATGCATTCATACTAGCGAATGCTTCACACGCAGTCTGTGTAATGTACCATTTGCAGCTTCAATTGTTTGAGCAATATGTGCAAAGCTTTCCGTCAGTCATTATAGCTATTGCTATAGCAAGTGCGTGGAAGTTGGCACACGAAAACCAATGAAGGCGGAAAGGAAGGAACATCGAAAATGCTGCAACTCTTGCAACTTTCCGAATTTCACAAATTCTTTTTGCCACATTGTGCAGAGCTTTCCTATCTGCAGCCTTAGCAGTCACCTTAGCATTTTCGGGAACGTCAATGCTTAAGAACACACGAACCCGCTACGAATTTTAGTTGGATGCGGCAGAGGGGGTAATGAACGAGATGATAGCAGCAACGGTTTCAACAATCAGCTCACTGGTCTCTCCGGGGTGTTTGTTGGCGCTATGCTTCCTTCTGATCGAGACCTTAGGAAACCAACTTGTTGTCGACAGCCTTAATATCCAGGCTGGGTCGTTTTTCCATCGATACTTAAACGCTTTAAACGAGGTCATTCTTGCGTTCAGACACGATCAATGTTGACAATACACTGCTTCGTGTCCAAGTAGATGCTTGAGTGTAATTTGCTTGATTGTAGCACGCATCGTGTCCGGTGCTCACTAATCGTCAGCAACAGAAAGGCAGGTGAAGGAACACTTGGGCTGAGGCGGAGGCCTTCATCATGCAGGATCTGAAGCCAGATGTTGTCAAAGTAGTGCTTAGGCTGTTGGAGAGCGCGGGTACTTAAGACGTGGTGCTGTGCCTATCGTTGGAAGAAGCTAAGCGAACCTTTGACGGTATCCTAGGCAAGACCAATGGCCTTGGACTCCAGAATGATGCTGTTTTACTGCAAGAGTACCTGGAAGGCGACGAGTTTGTGGTTGATACGGTTAGCCGCAACGGAGAGCACAAGGTGACCGCCATTTGGAAGTATGACAAGCGTCGCGTGAACGACGCTGCATCTGTGTACTTTGGACTGTCATTGGTGCCTGCCGAGGGTGTTGTGAACGAGGTGATTGACTACCAGCTCCAAGTTCTCGGTTCGTAATGCTATCTTCTTCGTAATTCGCTATTGTTGAGCTGTTCGAACTGACATTTTCGTGGCAACTGCTTGCTCCAACAGACGGCAATGGCCCTGCACATGGAGAAGTCAGGTTTTGCTGTGGCTCTCCAGTGCTAATTGATATTGATACCCGATACCACGGAGGGTAAGTGCGCTTGGGCGCCCCTCGCTACTATTTGCATTAGCTACAATCAAGTGATTGCTACCATCGACAGCATTTTGGATGGCGGAGCCTTCGCCAAGCTGGCTGAACGGCCTAGAAAGCTGCTTGCACACGGTTATGTGGTCATGATAGTGTCGTACAAGAACGGCGTCATGAAGAGCATTCCATGCATCGCAATAATTGAAAAGGTGTCAGCTTATCTCGAGAAGGCGATTTATGTTGCGCCGGGAGACAATATGCGTCAGACAGTGGATATGTTCACAACTCCAGGTAACATTATGCTTAAGCACAAAGAAGTGACGCGCTCGAGCAAAGTATTGCTCGTATTCGCGAATTCGAGGTCGAGGGGCTTTCGCGATGGAATATAGCCGCTTCCTTTATAACTGTGACCATCGCAATGACCATGAGTCCTAAAGATGGTGTGAGCAACGTATTGTTACGAAGACTCTTCCGTGAAAATGGCTGTAGAGTATGAGGCGCCCAAGACTTGTAAAAGAGATCGCAATCAATTCTCTCACCATGTACTTGTGTAGACGGGCACTTCTACACCCAAGTGACAGGTCAAAAGTAATCTTGAATACTTTTAAACCAAACATTAAGTATATTACTTAATGTTTACGTGTAACTAGATGCCCTGTTACACCATCCCCCGTTTTAGAACGATTTTTACATTTTGTAAAACATCGCCTAGGAGACAGAGAGACTTGCAAGCCTTTATAAACGCGCCGCTTTAGTCTGCTCAGTACTCATGCCACCGAAACGTGGTAAGGCTGATGGGTCGCCTGCAAAGGCACCCATGCAGTCCAGCACTAAGCGCACGCGCCGCGATTTATCGCAGCCGTCGCAAAGTGCGTCAGGCACTGAGGTGAATCTTCCATCTCACGATAATGTGGATGAAGGTCCATCTCTCATTGTAGATTACAATGAGACCACACCACTGCCATCACCCCAAAGTGGCGATGAGCGTAGTGCATTGATGGGACATATGTCCCCATCATTTGAGGCACCCGTCCTTGAGGGAGCATCTATGCTTCCTACAATCGAAGGTAAAACCTCGTCGCCTGCGCCTACGAGCGCAGCAACTAAGACTGAGCACGTTACTTCGAAAGGAGTAGTCGCGACTCAGTCAGATGTGACTCCTCATGCTGATGTCTTGACAATCCATAATGGAGAGTCAGACTCAGGTGAGTGTGAGCTTAATGCTCCACCAAGTACACCTTCGGCCTCTCTAGCCCGCCGTCGCGAGGGCGGCTACGTGAGTGGTGGCTTGCCACCAATGCCACCTCCATCCGAGTGAATAAAATCGGAGGAGTCTAGTGCAGCGCTTTTGCAGCGTGCAACTATTGACGCTCATAAGTTTTATAGCGTCTTTCCGGTGTGGAAAAAGCAGGGCAAAGCACTTGGACGTGCTTTCCCAATTCCAGTCGTGCTGCGTTCTAACGAAATAGCCGACGAATATGAAGCTGAACTTCGGCGCCGTGTTACCTTGCATGAAGACGCAACTAAACAGCGGTCGCAGCGAATCAGCTTCGCCATAAAGCGTGCGCATGAAATTATGGGTGGTAAGCGACCCCCAATTGATTCTCGCTACGCTTCTTCTGCTAGTCCTTCCGGACCTAGTAGAAAGACGTCAGCTGGTGCCGCTTTACATAAGCAGCCACCAGCCTAGGCACGTCAACGCGCAAAGCGTCCACAGGCTTCCACGAGTCAAAGCTCGTTGGGTAACCCTTCCACTGGACAAGGATTTGGAGCTTTCGCTTCACAAACCGGTGGGCCAACAGCCTTCCAACAAGGAAGCGCGTATTCCCTTCCGTGTCCACCAACACAGGTGGCGCCCGATAGGAGCGGCCATTACGCCCACCTACTCGCGGCTGCCTACCCTGCTGCTGTTCAGTCGCAGGCTGAGTCCGCTGCGCTGAAGAGGCAGGTGACAGATCTCGAGAGTCAAGTCTCGCGACTGACCTCGGATCTGCGCGATGTGAGGACGAGGGACCGTCAGGGGTATGACCGCCTGAAGACCCGTTTGGACATCCTAGAGCGACTGGCGATGAGAGACCCGCGTCAAGCGCGGAGTACTTCTCGATCGTCGAGTCCTCTATCGCCTCGTTCGTATACGGGGAGCCTATCGGCTTCCTCGTCGCCTGATCGGCCGCGACGCTCGACTCACAGTCGACGTCACCATCGGTCTCGTTAGACCGATGTGGATATGTGATCTCTTCTGGACCAACATACCGTTTCAGGCGACCCACGTAAAATACGGGGTGCGTCTTCATATACGGTGGGAGAGTGAGCCTATAATTTAGGTCTCCAACTTCTTTAACTACTGTAAAGGGCCCAATGAATCGGGGCAATAGCTTAGTAGTACCACCAGGTAGTACAGAAATTTCATGTTTAGGTAGGGTAGCAGTACTTAATAGCACTTTTTCTCCCACACTAAAGTGCTCATTATTTTTGCGACCATGCTGGTCTGCATATTGTTTTTGCTTGTCCTGTGCTCTTGCCATCGCGTCACGGACTTTACTGTGATGCTGATCGCTCATCCACAAAGCGCTGAGCTTCGCTCACGCTTTTAGCATCCAGCTTGCCTATGACGCCTCCAAGAGGTCGTTCATGGGTCGACGCTGTTGACAACACTATAGTGCCATCGTCAAGGAGCACTGGCATTTCTTGCCGTGCCTCCTCTGTGACACCTATGGGTGTCGTGACCACTGCTAAAATAGCAGTGTCACTAGGGCAATTTTGGACCTCTTTGGCATTCGCACCGAGCGAAGTGAGGGGCCCTCCCCCACTACGACTCGGGCTGCGTACAAACGAAACTGGCGTTCGAGGATGGCGCAGTCCGTTAATGTAAAACGGTGTTTCACCCGTACTGGCGTGAACAATATTATTCATAGCGAACTCCACGAATGGCAATTGCTTGCTCCATTCTTTGGGAGTCGCTACTGTACGCAACACATCCGCCACAACTCGATTGGCCCGTTCTGTTTGGCCATCATTTGGGGACGATCGGCAGTTGACATGTGGAGCTTGCTACCCAGCAGCTCGAACACATGTCGCCAAAAACCCGACGTAAAACGCGGATCCCGGTCTGATACTATGGACTCGGGCATCCCGTGTAGTCGATACACGTGATCCAGAAACAAGAGGGTAGCCTCTTTTCCTGGGATCTTGGTGCTACATGGTGCTAAATGCACCATCTTGCTCATTCTGTCTACGAAGACGACGAGCCCCGTCCTGCCTTTATGGTCAGGCGGTAAGCCAAACATGAAGTCTAAACTGACCGACTTCCAACATTCAGTTGGAATCGGCAGTGGCTTTAGTGGCGCACTGTTTAAAAGTGCAGGCTTTATGCGCTGACACTCCTCGCAAGAGCGAATATAGTTGGCCACCCACCGATATAGGTGGGGCCACCAAAATTCCTCTGACACTAGTAAAAATGTCTTTTCACGGCCCAGATGCCCACTAGATGGCGGATCATGGCACTCGTGAAGTATCATCAGCTTGAGATCTGTGTCATGAGGGACATGAGGATAGATTCTCAAGGGATCACAGGGTGACAGTTGATGCCATAACAGGCCATCACTGTAACTAAAGCGATTTAACTTCGCTTTGAGGTGCGACGGAAGGGTAACCTTTCGTCCACCAAAATGATCCAACAGCAGGAGACAATGTTCGTCCTGACTGTAACACTCCTTTATATCGGAGGCCATTGAGCTCGTCACATGGTAGGCCTTCATGGCTGCCAATGTTGACGACTCAACTTGTGCTTTCGCACGAGACACACTTTCCTGGTGTCTTGTCTCGAAGTCTGGTCTGCGCGATAACGCGTCAGCCAATACATTCGACTTACCCGGCTTATATTCGACTTTGAAATTATATTCAGAGAATAATGTTAGCCATCTCGCCATTCTCGGCGAGAGGTGCGGTTAATCTATAGCGTTCCGCAGTAATGCGTAATCTGTGTATTCCACAAAAGGTTCGGTGCCCAAGAGGTGCACCCGAAACTTCACAAGGGCATACTTAATTGAAAGTAGCTCCTTGTCATGCACAGGTTAATTTTAGCTCGGCAGCTTTTAAAATCCGATACTGATAAGAAATGACACGGTCAACGCCGTTGTCATCCTTCTGCATGAGCGCGATGCCGATTGCAAAATTGCTTGCATCGCAGACGACGCTAAAGGGCTTATCCGCGTCTGGCAATGCCAAGACCGGTGCCTCTACAAGAGATTGCTTCACTGATGTGAACGCATCTACTTGCTCCTTTTACCAAGTCCATTATGTATCCTTTTTCAAAAGATCAGACAATGGCTTAGTCTGCTCCGCATAATTCTTGCTATACTTATGCAAGTAATTAGCGAGCCCAAGGAATTAGCGCAGATCCTTTACATGTCGTGGGACTGGCCATTCCTTTACAGCCTTGACCATTTCTGGGTCTGCTCGTACACCGTGTGCACCTACGATGCAGCCCAGTACAGGTATCTCGGGGACCCCTATTACGCACTTTTGCAAGTTCACGTATAATTGGGCGTCACCCAGAGTCTGCAACACAGCGTCTAAATGACGCTTGTGCGACTCTATCGCGCTCAGACCGTCCTCCTCCCTACTATGCACGAATACATCGTCAAAGTAATGGGGCGCGTAGGCACGGTGCTGACGCATCACGTGAGCCACCACTCGGTTGAATGTTGCCGGAGCATTTTTCAACCCTTGTGGCATCACAAGCCACTCCCACAGCATACCGCTTGGGGTGCTTACTGCCGTTTTGGCTACATCGGTATATCTCATGAGAACCTGATAGTAGCCATCCTTCAGATCCAACGCGGAAAAGATAGTTGACTTTCCCATGGAGTTCAACAAGACATCTTTCCGCGGGATCGGCGTTTGAGCCGGAATGGTGGAAGTGTTCAGCTTATTATAAGCATGAACCACGCGCCATCCACCCGTTGCTTTACGCACACAGAAGGTCGGGCTGCAGTGAGGCGACTTGCTCTCACGTACATGTCCCGCCTTAGCTAGCTTGTCGAAGAACTCATCGATGTAATCGACTTGTTCCTTCGGCAACGGCCATTGCCTGGTCACACAATACTTGGTAGGTCAATTTCGTGCCTGATGCCCCTATCGGCCGGTAGGCGGCTCGGCACTTCTGCTGGAAACACATCACGGTGTTTCCACAGAACATCATAGAACGGGCTGTCCTTCAAGGCATCCCAGCCTTGAGCAGCGAACCGTTTCTTTCTGTCGGTCTTCAAGACGCTCTCATCCATTGTGGATGAAGAGAAACAGTCCACCACGTTCCCTTCTGGAACCGGTGCGACTATCTCGTGGATCTTCCCTTCCTTTAGTTCGGACAGGAACAGATCCCACGTCA